CTGCTGCTGCGTGAATATGACGCATCACAACACCACGGAGACCCGAGAAAAAACTGGGATTAAAGTCCAAAACCTGACTTGAAATAAAGTGACTAAAGTGGTTCCATAAACGACAAATGAAGTTCACACAATCTCACTAATTTGTGCACGATTATTCTTAAGCAGCCCTTAATGTCGATCATGGATCAAATCGATACACCATGACAAACAGCGAATATATTCGTGCTGTTTAATGCATTTGAGACGTTGTGTTTTCCTCAGTGCATAACTGACATGTCACAGGTATATTTTTCATCTGTAAATGTTAGAAAGTCATGCAAACATATCCATTTTGCTGGCAGGAGTGAGCGAGCGCTGCTGCGTGCATGCACAGTAAACAGACTGCGCAATCGAATAGGAGCGCAATAATTATGAGTAAAATATACATTTTGCTAAAATATTTGTTGGACATTAAATGTGTCTTTTGTAGAATTTTAAACCTTCATATAAGTGTATTTTTATGATAGCATTAACTGTAAGTGGACAATTGTAATGGGTAAATCCAATGTAAACTAGTTCAGTAGGCTACTAATTACTCAGCTCAAATGAGTTAATGTGTGCTTCTTATTGCAGTTTAGAAGTCATTTTCTTATTTAATTTCATTTTAATTCAGTGATTTTAACATTTAGTTTAGTTATTTTAATGCTTTAAAGAGCAGTTTTAGATTGTAATGTTCTGCTATCTGTTCTGCAAAGGTACAGCTGTCATAAAACCAGAGAGCCTTTCTGCTTGGCTAGTCAGTGTTAGAGGAACTCCGCTTAGTCTGATAGTTAGCCTGCTTTAGACCAGGTTAGTTTCCCAGCATAAGTTGCCACAGTGACTGAAGTTGATCTATGTTAAATTTGCTTTATGGAACCAAATCATTTGACAATGAGTCAGACTAACTGAAATAAGCCTGGCTTATTTGGTAAACTTGTTTTATGAAACCGGCCTCAAGGCATTAAGTGATCATATTTTTTCCATTGCATCGAATCGCATTGTGTTGAATCGAATCGAATCGAAATCGGATCGCACTGTAACAGGGGTGAATCGCATCGCATCGGTAGCTGCTTCATATGTATCTTTAATGTATCGTATCGTTGGCTATGCATCGAGATGCGTATCGTATCGGCCTGAGTCATGAGATGCACATCCCTAATACAAACAAATGGATATTAAAATATCTTTAAAACGGAAAGAATAAAGGCAGTTACTTTCTGTTTACTCTTTGAATTCTCATGAATAATACTGAGGAAAGCTGGGAAAACTGATGTAGACGATCGTATCGGCCTCAGTCATGAGATGCACATCCCTAATACAAACAAATGGATATTAAAATATCTTTAAAACGGAAAGAATAAAGGCAGTTACTTTCTGTTTACTCTTTGAATTCTCATGAATAATACTGAGGAAAGCTGGGAAAACTGATGTAGACGTGTACTCTCCAGCCACAGCAGCCAATCTTCACTGCAAATTCACTTTTCGTGACGTTGGTTCAACTTTGCTTTTTGAACCCGAAGAACGAAATTGCTCCAAAAAATGAAAAAATAACCACTTTTACCTTTAATAATAGATGTAATGAGGGCTAAAGTTGTTTTCACTGATGTGCAGCGTGTTCATATATGTGACCCTGGAGCACAAAAGCGGTCTTAAGTCGCTGGGGTATATTTGTAGCAATAGCTAACAATACATTGTATGGGTCAAAATTATACATTTCTCTTTTATGCCAAAAATCATTAGGATATTAAGTAAAGATCATGTTCCATGAAGATATTTTGTAAATTTCCTACCGTAAATATATCAAAACTTAATTTTTGATTAGTAATATGCATTGCTAAGAACTTCATTTGGACAACTTTAAAGATGATTTTCTCAATATTTAGATTTTTTTGCACCCTCAGATTCCAGATTTTCAAATAGTTGTATCTCTGCCAAATATTGTCCGATCCTAACAAACCATACATCAATGGAAAGATTATTTATTCAGCTTTGATTTATTCAGATGATGTATACATCTCAATTTTGAAAAACACTTAAGACTGGTTTTGTGGTCCAGGGTCACATATGTTAACATCTCAAAAAATGTGTTTTAAGGTTTGATGACTCTTTCAGGTCTGATGTTGTGTCTTGTTTTGCTCAGCTGTCTCACTCGGACATGGAGACGAAAGCCCGAGCCGTGGTGTCCCTAAGCAGATTGTTTTCCGTGGTACGTTGCTACGCCGCTGCGGTAAGCTTGTTTTGCTCGTGTTTGTGTGTTCTGATGTGCGTCTGTCTGCAGGACGAGGATTGTTTGCCTGAAGCCATCGGCTGGCTGCGGGACTCTGGAGCTCCTGACGTCGGTAAGAAGCTGATGGATCTCGGATCGGTGGAGATTCGCTATCGGACGCTCCGCTTCGTCTTCATCGAGTGTGAGTTTCATTTCCAGTAGTAGAGATGTCACACATGTTCAGGGCATGGTTATTATAATAAATGAAAACCAAAACTGTCACAACATTTTGTTCTTGACATAAGATAAATGTTAACTGAAATAAATTATGAAAACTAAACATTTTCGTTTCGTTTATCTTTAAGTACTAAAATAACTAAAACCAAAAATGTATTCTAATTCAAAGTTTTAACAAAAGCTATGCTAGCATCTCAGCAGTGGTTCAGTGCTGTCAGCATCTGTGAGCTTCATGCTGGATCCTGTTTGTGCTCATTAGCACTGACTAACGAACGTCTGGCCCCACAGATTCACGTTATCTTCAGGTGATTTCGTGCAGTAAAAAGAAAGCCATCGAGGAGCTGAAATCAGAGCCGGACTCTTGGACTTTATCGGTGAGAGTCTTTAAGATCAAATAACATGTTTGTGTCCATATTTAACGCACCGCATTCATAGGATTATTAAAATCTTTATGAATTATGTTTGACTGATTGTTGTGGGAGTTCTGCTCTATTAAGTGGATGTGGGACAGAAATAGGATACTGCCTTTCATTCCAGAAAAGCGAAGATATGAAAAACAAAGGAAATGAGCATTTTCAGAAGAAGAAATATGATCTGGCGTTGAAGTGGTACACCAAAGCCATTAAATACCAGTGAGTGACAGAAGAACCTCACTGCTTTAATTCCCAATCCACGTCAGTTTCCCAGGTTTTAATCGAATGTTCGTCTGTCTGTTCTGTTTTCAGCCCGAGCAACCACATCCTGTACGGGAACAGAGCGCTCTGCTACATTCGCTCGGAGAAATATCTGTGAGTTTAGAGCAAACCATACACGATAATCAAGATCATGATTGACCAGCGATACTGATTGTGGGAACTGTTTTCAGGAAAGCACTTGGAGACGGAAAGAGAGCCATTATATTACAGCCAGACTGGGCCAAGGTGAGTGCTGGTTCACCGAACACACTGCCACCATCATCATCATCAATATTTGAATGCATTCTCGTTTTGATGAACTGATAATGATCTATGATGTTTTCAGTTGATATAAGAACAAAACTCAATGAAACGTTATGTGTCGCACCTCCCATCCAACAAATCACAATAATCTTTGTGCTTTGTTACTTTTGATAACACACAAAGTCTCCGCTTTCAAATTAAGTCAGTTGTATTATGAAATACCATTTGTGTGACAGATCGCTGTTCAAGCGTGAACCGATCATCTCTCCCTCTTTACTGCTAGCTACAACAGCAAATAAACATGGAATGAAGAAATGAGTCATGAATCATGTGATCGATCAGTCAGAAAGACGTCAGTACAACCACATGAGATCAGTTACCTCACATTTACCTCAGGAAAGACATTCAGTGTCCATAAACTCGATAGTCAACTAGAAAAATAACTATATGCACTGTATCACATACTGTATTTTTACTTAACCTCTTTCAGTATTTAATGTATGTTTGAATAAATCCATCATGAAAACAAGTTATGACATGCACGCTTTAAATGTTTATATTTCAACAAACAAACTAGTCAAAACATAATTATATCATTTAAAATGGCATTATAATAATTTAGTGTATAATAAACGTTTATTATAAAAACTGCCTTGTGTGCATTTTAAATGTTTGTTTACAGGTCACTTTAATATTGTTCTGTACCAGCTGAATTTTTTTGCTAATAAACTAATAAATAACTAAACTAATGCTTTTTTGCATTCTGCTTTAGAGAGAGCCTTTGAAAGAGATGCTCAGTGTTCAGAGTCATTTGAATGGTTTTCTCAGTGAGTTGTGATGAAGCTGTGTCACCATCACATCCAGAGCTTTGTGTCACGTGTTCTCTGGGCTTTCAGGGTCACTACCGCTTCTGTGACGCTCTGTTCTATCTGGGGGAACATCAGAAAGCTCTGTCGGCCAACCTCCTGGCTCAGGACGCCTGCGGCACAGACACAGAGGGACAGAAAGACCTGCTGCAGCAGCACGAGCGCTTCCAGACGGAGCTGCAGGAGAGCAGAGGTAACGTCTGATCCTTCAGCACGGCTTCAGTGCTGAGCCACCGCAGCAGAGCGCTTCATTTGTGTTGTGTTTCCAGCAGAGATGAAGACCAAGAAAACCGAAACGAAGAAAACTTCTTCTAAAAGCAGGTTTGTGTTTGCTCTATTGCTGCTCTGGATTCGCGTCGTGAGCGGATGATTACGGTTTGTTTTGTACTGAAGATCACACGCGGCTAGCGATTCTTCTGGTCATCATCAGAAATCCAGTCATCAGCCGGAAGCGGCGTCTCAGTCTTCAGTCCAGGAGAGTTCGGTGAGATGAAACGCTCAGCCATGGCCAAGCGCTTACGCTATACTGTGAACAGTGTTATTGTAGATTTTTTTTTTTTTATGAACTGTTATGGTTTACATAACGTTTTAGATTAGCTTTTATTTTTATATTTAAAACTAGTCTGTTTTTTGTTTGTGTCATTAGCTCTTTTATTTAAATGTTTTTAACATTTAAATTTTTACTCTGGTTTGTTTACTATTTAGGTTTCATTGAGTTTTAGTTCCTTCTGTATACACGAGTGTCTTTTTTTATTTTCTTTTTTTAACCAATGTTTCAAACTGCAACAATGTGATTTTTTATTTTATTTTTCTCACATGAATGTAAAGTCTAATTGCTGTAATGTTCTTCTCTCAAACACCAGCAATCTGAAAACTGGAAACACCAGGAAGACACTGCAGGTGAGGGACGAGATGCTTCAGAGTTTTTAAAGTGAAGTTGCTTTTGAATTTCTAACCTCATTGACAGCAGTGCTGGACATGCGTTGGCCATCTAGCACTGAGAAGGATCAAAGGATTCTTCAGAGCAACCTGTGACTGTTGCAACCTTACATTTGTGTTGTGTTACTTTCTTCTTCGCTCATTCAGTTATGACACATTTTTACATTATTCCATAAACAATTGCTGTGTAGTCTGATGATTTTTAATTTTTTTTGTCTTCATGAGTAAGATAAGAGAATGCCTTCTTTTCAAGGTTTTTATCGTCACTGGACGATGTTGTGAGTCAGTAATTTTCTATTGCTATGACTTGTGGTATAACACTGGTCAGATGAAGTCTGAGCACTGAAGCATTCACAACTAAGATTATACAATGGACCCTTTTCACATTTTTGTGTTTCTCAGCAGCTGAAGTCGTCATAGTTGGGTTAACTTCAAGAGCAGTGAATGGGAGAGTAACACAAATATATTTTTTGCATTCCCATTTGCTCAAATAGCAAAAGAAAACCCCCACGATAATGTTTTCGTGACTTTCAATAAAAGGGAAAAAATGGAGAGAGACTGATAACAGCAGTCAGAAGAGAGAACGAGGTCAAACTTACCGTCCCTCCCAGAGACGCTGCGTTAGAAACACCCTCGCATTAGCGTCAACTGTTTTTTGTAATTTGATGCAAAGGTGATATAATACAAAGAATAGTGTTAGAAATGTGCATAAATTTTCAAATTTTTTTTTTTTTTTTTTACTTTCAAGGATTTACGACGCTGATGACCGTTAAACGCATCATCACAGTCTTGTGAAAAGGATCCATAAAATCTACTCCTTTTTTTTATCATCATCACTTTGTCTCCTGCTGCTGCTCTTCCCCGGCTTTGCTCAGTCAACTTCTCGGCTGATTGAAGACTGTTACAAGACCAAACGGATCTAAGGTTTTGGTGTAGTTCACTGGATGTCAGCCTGATCTAACAGCTGGAAGCTTCAGTTTGACTGCACTGCGCTTCTGAAAGATGCTTGTTCTATATAACATTTTTTTGATTTACTAGAATCGTGTGGCCCTATTGACGTGTTCTTGAGCCTCAGTAGAGAGTTTCCAAATGAAACCAGAGCGCCTCGTTAAGACATTTAAGTGAAGAGGTTATAGTGGCGTGTGGAGCTGGAGTCTCTGCTCTTTAAACTCTCGTCAGTCGTTCGTTATCTCGCGGTGAATGTTGTATTTCGTTGTCTGTTCCCAGCTCTCCTCCTGCTCTTCAAGGCCACGGATCTCAGATGTGTCAGTGTTGTTAAAGCGTCAGTGATGGCTGGAGATCTGCGCTGACGGTGATACTTGCGCTGGTGTTTGTAGAGTTAAGCTTGAATATCGTGCTGCTGGTATAATTGGAAGGATGTCAAACACAGGAGGTTTATTTCATGCGAGCGTGTTCTGGCGAGTCAAACTTTCCCTCCGCAGGAAATGAGCTTCTCTGAGTGTCTCCTGTCGTGTGTGTGCGTGTATTTACTCCTCCTCCTTCGTGCCGCTGCGCTCGTTTCTAGAAGAGACGGGTGGTTGGTCTGGTCCTGCGGGTTCTTGATCGTCTTTACTCCGGAGATTCACTTCATCATGCGACGCAATAATCCCATAATTCACGTTTTCAGGGAATTCAGGAGCTCGAGTGTTCGCTGAAGGAAGAGCTGACAGAGTCAAAGACATAAAGAGGTAATTAACCGCGTTATTGTTATGAAAATGACGGGGGGGGAAAGCTGATTTTTGTAAATGTTTTTATTGTTTGAGATGTTAAATATTAAACTGATATGATTTATGACGATTGCTTTGTTGTTACATAACTTTAAAGTGAACCATGAACTGTTATTGACCGTAAAATAAGAGTTAATGACAGTAAATAAGGTTAGATTCACTTTCATTTCACCGTCACATTGAAGCTTTCAGATTTGGGTTTGTTTCAGACAGTAACAGGATGTTCATTTCTGCTGTTTCCTGCTTATCATCTCAACCAGAATTATTAACTAATAGTAGAACTTGAAACATTTTCACTACTTGAAATAAAATTGGTGACACTTTACAGATAAAATTCCTTTTGTAAACATTAGTTAACATTACCTAACAAAGAAATACAGTTCTAAAGCATTGATTAATCTTAGGTTGTTAATTGCAACATTTAATTATATATTCGTAGTTGTATTTGCTGTTATTATTATTTAGTGGACCTGAGTTGACATGAACTGAACAGGTGTATTTTTATTAACTAACCTTAACAAAGGTTAACAAGTCTTTGCTCATTGTTTTATTATTATTATTATGAATGAATAATTTATTATTATTATTATTGACAACAATATACAAACTGGACTGAGAACATGAAGACACTTAAGTCTTTGTTCATTGTTAATGTTAGTTAATGCTTAAAGTATTAACTGAAATAAAATATAAAACTTACATTGTTTCAGTTTAGCATGCAGTAAACATTGTTTATTTTGGTTTTGTTGAAGTATTGAAGTGTTAAACTAAAACCAGCTATGTAGACATTAAAAAAATGACTGAAAGTTTAACTATGATGAAAATCAGAACAGGAAATCCAATTCCAAATATTAACACAAGGTATGATATTATGTCAATGATGGTAAACAGCACTGGTGTATGAATGTAGCTTTCGCTGATGTTTGTTTCCAGTCTTTCTGTGCGCTCGTATCTGTGACCTTGAGTGGAAACGGTGGACTGATTTCATTGAGCCGCTTGTAATACTGTGTTTATTCCTGATGGATTTTTCCTAGTGAAATGAGTCCACGAAAGACTAAGAAAGCCTCATCCGCTGTCCCAGAGGAGCCGGCGGTCCGGAGCAAACACCCACCTGTCCCGGACGGACCGAGCCCTCCAGCGGTCAGTGTGTGTGTGCGTGTGCGTGCGTGCGTGTGCGTGCGTGGGCGTGTGTGTGTGCGGGCGTGTGTGTGTGTGGGTGTGTGTGTGTGCGTGTGTGTGTGTGTGCGTGTGTGTGTGTCGGCGTGTGTGTGTGTGAGCCTGTTTGTTACCGCGGCTCTTATCTGTGCTGGTGTATGTGTAAGGTGTGAGAGGATGAAAGCCGTGTGGGTGACAGGAACTCAGCTGCGGCATGGCAGAAAGAAACTAATCAGCCTTTTACAGCTTGAACCGAGGCGGTTAGGTAGCCTCGCGCTAACCGCACACGCGCTAGCTCTGTCACCGCTACAAATTGGCTTCTTACAGAACTCAAGGTGCCAATGGACCATTAGACGCACAAAAGCAAGAGTTTTCCTAGCGTCTCATGTGAAAAAAAACCCAGATCCTCCCCACCGAGTAAAACACGCACTGTCTGCTCCTGATCAGGGATGTTTGGGGCTCTGGAATATCTCTGTTCTACCGGAGCTAAGATGTTTTTTCACAGGATAAAATGTTCAAAATGCCGGTAAAGTCAATAGAATCAACAACAACTATTTACACATCTTTACAACCCTGTTGAAAAAAACAAAACAAAACAATAGAAACCATCACAGAATCTGTAATGGTTTTACTGATTATAATGGGAATTGTATTGGTTTTAATGGAAACTGTAATGATGCCTGTGGGTCTCTACTGGTAATTGTTCGCCTTCTATTGGTGGCTTGTTAAAACCAATAAATCCCAATGGAATATGTCCCAAAACACACTACAGAAAAACATTTTATAATGGTTTTAATGGTTAAAAGTTGATGGTTTGAAATGGTATTTGTAGTGGAATCCATTAGAATTCCTGTGATGTTTTTTTTTTTTTTTTTTTGCAGGGAAGACCTGGATATTAGAGTAAATAAGAACGCAGCTCCTTTTAGCACTACACAAACGTGGCTTTATTCTCTAATGGCTTGAAAATAAATCAGACGTGCGCGCACACGCACACCTGCACACGTGGTAAACAGGTTGACAAAGAGGAAGCTGTCACCAATTAGCGGCAGTGCTAATCTGGTTGTGTCGAGAGGATTATACTCTGTCCTGGTGGGACGGGGGAGAAATTTCATTTCCTGTGCAGCGTTCACAGACTCTACCTGAGTCAGCGGAGCTGCGCACGTCAAATCCGTGCTGAGATAACAGTTAATCATCTCTCGCTCTGAGAAACTGTTTCCCTCCACTGGGCCGAGCACCCGGCGCTTCATTCCTTCTGAAAACACACGTGAAAATGTGACCTAACCTCTCACCAACGCCAACACGGGAAACACACACGAGGAGACGCCGCCTCCAGAATTCCTTGAGATGTTCCACTCTGTTATTTCATGTGACATGCAACTAGTTTACAAGGTTCATGCTGCATTCAAGTCCTCCTGCGTATGAGTTCAGAAGTTGAAAAAACCTATTTCAATAAGTACTATTATTAATGCGACTTACTAATGTAGTATACAAGATAAACTCTACAGTAAATATTCGCAATTACAATTTAAAGTAAAAAGTGAAATAATTTTAATTTGTTATTTCCAAAACAAAATATGCAATGGGGGGTGTAGGCAGATGCTTGAATTGATTGAATGGTGGTTGAAATATGGACCTTTTTCCCATTTCCGGGTTTCTCTGCAGCAGGAGTCGTCATAGTTGGGTTAACTTCAAGAGCAGTGAATGGGAGAGTAACACAAATATATTTTTTGCATTCCCATTTGCTCAAATAGCAAAAGAAAACCCCCACGATAATGTTTTCGTGACTTTCAATAAAAGGGAAAAAATGGAGAGAGACTGATAACAGCAGTCAGAAGAGAGAACGAGGTCAAACTTACCGTCCCTCCCAGAGACGCTGCGTTAGAAACACCCTCGCATTAGCGTCAACTGTTTTTTGTAATTTGATGCAAAGGTGATATAATACAAAGAATAGTGTTAGAAATGTGCATAAATTTTTTTTAAATAGAAAAATGAAAAACTTTAGAGGATTTACGATGCTGATGACTGTTAAACGCATCATCACAGTCTTGTGAAAAGGATCCATAAAATCTACTCCTTTTTTTTATCATCATCACTTTGTCTCCTGCTGCTGCTCTTCCCCGGCTTTGCTCAGTCAACTTCTCGGCTGATTGAAGACTGTTACAAGACCAAACGGATCTAAGGTTTTGGTGTAGTTCACTGGATGTCAGCCTGATCTAACAGCTGGAAGCTTCAGTTTGACTGCACTGCGCTTCTGAAAGATGCTTGTTCTATATAACATTTTTTTGATTTACTAGAATCGTGTGGCCCTATTGACGTGTTCTTGAGCCTCAGTAGAGAGTTTCCAAATGAAACCAGAGCGCCTCGTTAAGACATTTAAGTGAAGAGGTTATAGTGGCGTGTGGAGCTGGAGTCTCTGCTCTTTAAACTCTCGTCAGTCGTTCGTTATCTCGCGGTGAATGTTGTATTTCGTTGTCTGTTCCCAGCTCTCCTCCTGCTCTTCAAGGCCACGGATCTCAGATGTGTCAGTGTTGTTAAAGCGTCAGTGATGGCTGGAGATCTGCGCTGACGGTGATACTTGCGCTGGTGTTTGTAGAGTTAAGCTTGAATATCGTGCTGCTGGTATAATTGGAAGGATGTCAAACACAGGAGGTTTATTTCATGCGAGCGTGTTCTGGCGAGTCAAACTTTCCCTCCGCAGGAAATGAGCTTCTCTGAGTGTCTCCTGTCGTGTGTGTGCGTGTATTTACTCCTCCTCCTTCGTGCCGCTGCGCTCGTTTCTAGAAGAGACGGGTGGTTGGTCTGGTCCTGCGGGTTCTTGATCGTCTTTACTCCGGAGATTCACTTCATCATGCGACGCAATAATCCCATAATTCACGTTTTCAGGGAATTCAGGAGCTCGAGTGTTCGCTGAAGGAAGAGCTGACAGAGTCAAAGACATAAAGAGGTAATTAACCGCGTTATTGTTATGAAAATGACGGGGGGGGAAAGCTGATTTTTGTAAATGTTTTTATTGTTTGAGATGTTAAATATTAAACTGATATGATTTATGACGATTGCTTTGTTGTTACATAACTTTAAAGTGAACCATGAACTGTTATTGACCGTAAAATAAGAGTTAATGACAGTAAATAAGGTTAGATTCACTTTCATTTCACCGTCACATTGAAGCTTTCAGATTTGGGTTTGTTTCAGACAGTAACAGGATGTTCATTTCTGCTGTTTCCTGCTTATCATCTCAACCAGAATTATTAACTAATAGTAGAACTTGAAACATTTTCACTACTTGAAATAAAATTGGTGACACTTTACAGATAAAATTCCTTTTGTAAACATTAGTTAACATTACCTAACAAAGAAATACAGTTCTAAAGCATTGATTAATCTTAGGTTGTTAATTGCAACATTTAATTATATATTCGTAGTTGTATTTGCTGTTATTATTATTTAGTGGACCTGAGTTGACATGAACTGAACAGGTGTATTTTTATTAACTAACCTTAACAAAGGTTAACAAGTCTTTGCTCATTGTTTTATTATTATTATTATGAATGAATAATTTATTATTATTATTATTGACAACAATATACAAACTGGACTGAGAACATGAAGACACTTAAGTCTTTGTTCATTGTTAATGTTAGTTAATGCTTAAAGTATTAACTGAAATAAAATATAAAACTTACATTGTTTCAGTTTAGCATGCAGTAAACATTGTTTATTTTGGTTTTGTTGAAGTATTGAAGTGTTAAACTAAAACCAGCTATGTAGACATTAAAAAAATGACTGAAAGTTTAACTATGATGAAAATCAGAACAGGAAATCCAATTCCAAATATTAACACAAGGTATGATATTATGTCAATGATGGTAAACAGCACTGGTGTATGAATGTAGCTTTCGCTGATGTTTGTTTCCAGTCTTTCTGTGCGCTCGTATCTGTGACCTTGAGTGGAAACGGTGGACTGATTTCATTGAGCCGCTTGTAATACTGTGTTTATTCCTGATGGATTTTTCCTAGTGAAATGAGTCCACGAAAGACTAAGAAAGCCTCATCCGCTGTCCCAGAGGAGCCGGCGGTCCGGAGCAAACACCCACCTGTCCCGGACGGACCGAGCCCTCCAGCGGTCAGTGTGTGTGTGCGTGTGCGTGCGTGCGTGTGCGTGCGTGGGCGTGTGTGTGTGCGGGCGTGTGTGTGTGTGGGTGTGTGTGTGTGCGTGTGTGTGTGTGTGCGTGTGTGTGTGTCGGCGTGTGTG